TAAAGCAGTTTTCCTAGACACTTTTAATTGAAATCTACTTAATCACTCAATAAATAATTGTTCAGTGTGTATGTGGCAGATATTTCTAAGTATTGAAATAATAAACCAGCCGAGTTTGTGTCCAAAGTTCACATTTGGGGAGATGGGAGGGTAGGACATGAGGGATACAGATGTACTTTGATGTAAAATACGGAAGGTAGGTATACCTGCATGATCATAAAAGTACAAGATTTTCAAACTTGCTTCTAACAAAGTAGTAATTGGACACTAAACAAATTTAATAAAACTGCCAATGGAAGTATAAATCACTTTACTATATAGAAAATCTATGTTTCTGTCAAAAACAGATATATCCCAGCCACTCTTGGGGGAGCTGATCACCTTAGGCCAATGCTGTCATGGTATAATCAATCAATGTGATAATATGTTAAATAAGGGCAACCTGCGTAGTCTACTTTCACACTTCCCTTTGTGTTTCTTTTTTTCCCCAAGTAGCATTATACTTACAAATGTTTATATTTTATTCTGATAATTATAAAATTCCCTCAGACTCTATAGATTCTGCTGATAAGTCTAATCTGTTGATTTCCTACTTTAATGTATCTTCTCCCCTCTCCCATTATCTGTCGTCAAAAGTACTTTCTTTGAATTTACTTTGTACTATAAAGTTTGCTTAAACTTCAAATTCTTGATTTGTTGTCTTTGGTCTCCAGTTATGACACATAAGTTTGGGAATTTTCTCTGTTTACTATTCACTTACCCCCTTTCCTCTCATTTTTCTCAAGTGTGTCATTTCTTCATTATTTCACCTTTATTATTATCTTTGTTTTGCCTTGAATTTGTGCTCACTGCAGTCATATTATTTAAGCTTCCACTGTCATTTATTTGGGTATCTTCTAGTAGGTTCCTCAAAAAGGATTTATATGAACAATCCTTGATCGAAACTGTGACCTTTATTGTTGGAAATTATTGACTCAAATTCTTTAAGCATTTTACTCCAGTATCTTTCATCACTAAATATTCTTATGGAAAAAGTCAACTGCCAGCCTCCTTTCCCTTTCCCCCCACCCATAAGTGGGGTGTGTTGACTGTCAGAAATTTTGAAGTCCAGTGATTTTGCGTAGGGAATTCCCATGTTGTCTTGGTCATGGTTTCTTAGACTAAGAAATACCCTTTCACAGTGCTAATTAAAGTTTTTGTTTTAGGAACGTTTTCAGGGTTTATATGATGAAATATTTACATTATTCCATGGATTAGCTTTTCTTCTTTGGAAAATTACGCTTTATTGACTCTAGCACACACACGCACACAATTTTTCTAATTTTTTAATCTGTAATATTACAGTATATATCATGATTTTATCATTCATAACCATAACCCTATTATTAATCCAGAAATGTGTTTAATATAATACAATTATCTTAAAGTCATTAAACATTCAATCAGTGCATTTTCACAATTGTCTGATGATTTTGTATAGTTTTATCTGAACAGGACCCTAATAAGATCCCCATGTATTTACCATTGTTTGATAAGTATCCTAAGTTTCTTTTAACCTGTGGGTCCTCCTCATTCCCTCTCTTTTTCCCTTGAAATTTATCTACAGAAGAAATTGGTGAGCTAAAGCAAAATATGTTAAAAAAAAAAAAAAAGATATGGAATAAATCTGTCCTCTAGTCACATGAAAACATTAGAAACTTTCAGATTCAGACCATTTGTCAAAGCATTTGTGCTTATGAATGTTTTTTCCTTTCTCAAATCCATTTAATAAAAAAGAGATTATTTTATAACCAATAGGATGAAGCACTCTAGTTTCTACTATTCTGCCATTTAATTTTATTGAAAATTACGTCTTCGGATGGAGTAAAAAGCCTTGACCCAAAATGTGCCTAACACCTGCGTCCTGACTAACCCCCGGCGCTCCTCCGTCCTTCTCCTAGCTTTGGCGTCATCCCCAGCACTCCCTTGGCCATCCACACGCCGCTGATGCCAAACCAGAGCATTGATGTCTCCCTGCCTCTCAACACCTTGGGCCCTGTCATGAAGATGGAACCTCTGAATAATTTGCAGGTCAGAGTTTCTTTCACTTAGACTAGTAGTGGGTATCTTAGAAATTTTTATTTCATTTGTATGTAAAATAACCCCCCATTCCTCCTTATGCTGGATTTAGTCATGAAAAGACTTTGAAATAGTTCTGGGGAGGAGTTGTTTTTTTTTTTTTTTTTAAGTAAAAACCAAGTCACGTGGAAACATAGAAAATTATCTTTATTCAATATTTAGAAACGTTTAAAGATCTTTTTGTAAACTTTTCTAAAGGCTTTCATCATGAATTTGTCATTTATATGAAAATATATTTCAGAAGAGATTTAGTTGGTGTTATCTTTGAATAGGAAACTCTCAAACTGTACCTCAATTTTACAACCACCCTTTCTGTTTTGAACCAGGCTACAACTTTGATATGAGAATAAATGTTTTCAAACCACAAAAAAAAAAAAAGATAAAAAGATAAGAAAAGTATCTCACTGTCTCAGGCAGTTGATGAGAAAGTTTATCTCTGACCAGGATTCTTTTTTTTTTTTTTTAACATTCATTTTATTTATTTACTCATACAAGAACTGGGGTGTAGGGCAGAGATGTGGAGGGTATGAGGATTCACCAGTGACAGAGTAGGGAGAAAAACAGGCAGATCTCCTGAAATATGCTGCTGAGGAGAGCAGTGGGGCAAGACAGGGGAAAAAATGTCTGCTGAGCCATGTGGGTCAGCTCCCTGGCTGGAAATGGTACTCATGCTGCAGTGCTAAAATTTTAACTCCTATACCACCAGAGAGGCCTGACCAAGATTCTTGGTGAGAAATCTAAGACCCAATATATGTACTATATTTGGCTAGATAGTTTAAATTTATACTAGCTTTAGTAGGTACAGAAATTGCCAAACCAATAAATTAATGTAAAATTGGTGCAGGACTGGGTAACACATATAGAAACAAATGCAGAACAGCTCTTATGCGACAGCTCTAAGTTTTAGGGCCATGAGGACTCCTGACTGAAAGAAAATCTACTGAAAGTAAATTCACAATTTAACCAAAAAAGTAAAGGTTGGTATTCTCCTTCTACCCAGAACTTGATGCGATAAAACTTGAATTTGAAGTGGTAAAATAGTCTGAATGATACTAAAAAATATGTTGAAAAAAATTAAGAAAAGTATCAACTGTGAAAGTAAAAGTATCAACTTTCCAGTCAAGATATCTGGGGTCCCATTGCTCAGTCTCCTGAAAATACCAGTGTGAGGTACCAGTACGTATAGGGGGACATCACCAGTAAAATTACTTGGAATTAAAGCTAACATTCTTCAGCAGTTTAAATACCAGTGTTCAAGGCCTGTTTGCCAGTTCACTACCTTTTTGCAACTAGTTGACTGTCTTTTTTTTCAACAAAGTGTGTAATGATTTAGAGTAGCAGTGAGTCACAATATAACTTGGCTCAGACTTGAAGAATAAAACAAGGATAACTGTGCAGTTGGAATTGGCTGTTACTATGAAGAAAGTACTGTGTTAAAGTAAGCATGTAAGTAACCCAAATCTACATCTGTTCCCTTTTCTGAAATGTAAGCTCCTGTTGACTTAAAGAGCCTCAAGCCTAATATTTGAGGACAGTCAGCATCACTGCAGGAATGCTTTATTTCAGAAATAGGAAAGGGAATTTGGGTCACAGAAGCCAGGGAAAATTTTTTGCTTTTAAAACAAGTAAGCAATAGTAAGTAACTGAATGTCTGTTTACTTCCCTATTTGTATTTCCATTTCACACTTAATGAAATGAGCATTCTGGATAAAAAACCTTCATGAGAGAAGTTGAATCCTAGTCCAAACTCCTTCCTTAGAAATCCTTTTATGGAATTAAGACTGGCAAGATTTTGTCTTTACAAACCTGACATTATGAAAAGTAACTTTTTCCATCTATATATCTTAATTCAGATATCATAATTATGGATGGCTATTGTCTCATTAATTGGCATTTTTCAGTGAAGAAAATAAGCAGAAAACTTTTTTTTCTTTCAAATTTTTTTAATAATATAATAGTTTATTTTTACATGATTTTGTGCCTTTTTTCCATCTCAGTTGTAATCCCCGTGGG